TGCGATCCGTTGCCGGTCACGAAAAAAGACAAAAAGGAAAAAAAAAAAAAAAAAAGAAAAGTATTAGGCTGGCTAGTTAGATCTATTGGTTAGAGAGTGGTGCTTATAACACTAAGGTCAAGGGTTCAGATCCCTGTACTGGCCAGAAAAGTATTACAGTAAAATCCCATTTTTATAAGCATCTATACACCTCTGTACCCATGAAGTGGAAGACCCCGTGGCATTAGACTTGAGCTGGAGGAACCAGCATCACCAGTGATCCGAGCGTCTTCCCAGCTCTGAAAGACCCTAAAAGCAGAGACAGTCCAGGGTAAGTCCCCACCGAAGGAGGCCAGGGCTGCCCGAGAAAGAACATCATGAAAAAAGGAGACTCAAGGGTCGTCACAGCCGACTGCCATACGGAAGCCATGATGGGGTCCTGGAGTGGGTATGGCCTGCACATGACCCACCGTCATCGATGCATGGGGCCCTTCTCAGGCTGTCACGGAAAGCGCCCTGCTCTCAGGGGACGTGAACACGAGAGTTTCTGGCCTTGATGTCTGCGACTTATTTTTAAATGGCTCATCAAGGACATAAAGGGAGACAGAGCAACTGTGGAAAATGCTAAAAACTGGTGCAGCTAGTGAACAGCAAATGGGCGTCCTTTACCTCTTCCAAGTTTTTTGTGGGTTTAAAACTGCAGAATGAAAAGTTGAGAAAACGAACAAAACATCCTCATGGTGTCGGTTTGAAGAATCAGTGCTACCATGGTCACTTGCCATTTCCTCAGCCCACAGGGGACCCATGACCCCCACGGTGAGCTCTCAACCCACCTCAGGCAAACGCCCGCCATGCACAGCAGGGTGACTGAGGCAACAGGCCCTGCAGGGATCACAGTGGGGGCCTGGGCCAGTTGGCGGGGAGTCAACAGAGGAAGGGTCAGGTGGGGCCTCCAGGCAGAGTGGCAGGGGTAGAAGCCGGGGCCAGGGGCCAGCGGCAGACACTTCTCATGCTGCTGAGCCTAGGGCACGGCTGGAGAGAGGCCTTCCCTGATGCCCCTCCTGCCAGGGGTTCCACGTGGGCCCTGCCCAAGCAGTCTGCACACCACATTCCGCCTTCTGCCTGCTCCAACATAGGGATCCCCCTCTTCCACCGGGCAAGGGACCGCCATCTCTCCCTCCACTGGGCTAAAGGACTCCTCACTGGATCACTCACAGCCGCCACTTCTACACACATGACTTTCCAGGCCTCTCCCCACCTGCTAAACATGCCTCGTTTTTTCTTCTGCTCCTCCCAGACCTGTCCCCACCGTGGCCTCTGGCCATTTCCTCTGTCCTCATCTGCCTGCTCCAATCAGGTCTCTGGCCACAGGGACTGGGTTATAGGTGGCAGCTCATGTGGCTGCTCTCACCCTCCCCTCTGGGCCTCCTGCCTCAGTCTCCCCTACTGCTCCTCCTCTCCCCACACTCACTGCCAGGTGACAGACGCACAAGCAGCCACTGCTGTCACCACCCCCGCAGTCTCCAGGTCCTCCCAACCAGGCTGTGGCACCTGCTGGGCCCTCTGCCTAGAATTCTACCCACATATCCCTAACAGGACAGGACCTTGTTCCCCTAAGGGAGGCATTTCCTTGCCACTCGGCATCACACATCAGGAGACCATGGGTTCCGGAATGCAGAAACACAAGGCAGACACCCCTGCACCAAGTGGCATGGGCTCAGGCGACACCAGCGCAGCTCCTCCCACAGTCACTCACGCACACCACTCTGCCCCTACAACTCTCTGGAGGGCACCTCCCCTCCCATCGGCCTCTTTCCTTCCTGCTGTCATTGTCCTCGTGGGGCAGGCACCCACCTCTGCAGCCGCTCTGCCCCTCATGGGACCTGACCATCGCCCACCCACACACTACTTCCACCTGCTCCAGAGCACACCACGGAGCCAGAAGAAGGATGGTCCTCCCCATGCCTGCTCAAGGCATTCTTTGGAGGCCCACCATGCTCCAGCCCTGTCCTATCCCTGGAGTCAAACATGACGAGACCCCTGCTCTCTCGGAGCCACCACCTCACGAGGGAGACAACACAAAAGAGCGTTCCAGACTGTGAGGAGCTCCACAGGAAACAAACACACACCACACAAAGAACTCCTGCTGGACGGCCAGCCTGCTCTTCCCATGAAGACCAACGCACTCTGCGAGAAGACACTGGAATACATCACAGTTGTGTAAACACGTCAGAAAGCAGTGATTTAGATTCTAAAGGAAGTTACCTTTACAGAGTTCTGTGAGCAAGAGGAACTCAGCCTGCCCCGTGTCCGACTCTTCTTTCCCTATTGACGCTGCGGAACAAAACTGGACAATGTTGGGGTGGCCGGAAAGTTTTTTCTGCAGGTGTCTGGTTAAAGGAGAATGAACATAACCATGTCTGTAATTCCGTGCACTTAAAAATGAACATAGGCACTATAAAGGCACTAGAGTCGTAATGCTTGGTTGAATTCCCTCACAATTCTAGCTCATCAGAGCAGAAAGGAGAGGGAGATGGCAGGTGGGTGAGAAAGGCAGCAGGGCACAGCAGGAGGGGAGAAGGGAGAGGGGGTGGGATGAGGCCAGGACACACTGGCCACACAACCTACCACAGCAGCACCAGCATCCGTCCTGCACCAGGCGGGAACAGGCAGAGGGCCCTTGGAGGGCTGCACAGCAGGGAGGCTGTGTCCACCAAACACAGCTCAGGCGGCCAGCAGGCTCTGAGTGGACAGAGCTTGGAGAGAAATGAGAAGCAGACCCACAGTAGCAGAGGGCAAGGCCCCCAGGCTCAGGGAGGACATGTGTGGAGTGGAGAGCAAGAAGAAAGGCCTGTGAATCCGCCACCAGTGCAGGGAGACCCCCGGCCCGAGCAGTTCTGAGCAGGGCAAGAAGGGACGTGCAGGGGTGGCTGAGGAGAAGCCTGTGGAGGCCCGCTGGAAGTGCAGCTGTCTGCACAGCTCTCATCCGCACAGCTGGGCCAGGTGCTTAGAGGGCAGACAAGGGGCAGATGAAGGGCAGGGTCCCTCCCTGTGGTTGACTGGCCCATCCACTGGGCATGGAGACCTCTTGGGCAGGAACAAAACCTCCATTTCCAACACTTCTGAATCCTTTACTATTACCCTGGGAGTAAAGAAGAGAGAAGAAAACTCCTTTTTACTAGAAAGAGTGTACAGGTAAGTCCGGTAAAAGCAAAGGCCAATTTTAATGTATCAAACAACATCACGGAGTGGCCTCCCAGCAGATGGCCGTCACAGCATCACGCAGGCCTGTGCCTCCCTAAGTGGCAGGGCTGGCGCTCAGATCTGGAAAAAGGATACCATGAAGCAAACTTCTTGAATGATGGCTCTGTTCTTTTCCTCTTCATTAGACAATAACCTCTGTATCAGAAAACAGCACACAAAAAGATCAAAGATTGATTACCTTTCCACTTTACATAACAGCTATCTCAGATATAAACACCCACAAGGATAAACGCAATGGTCTAAGAGAGCTCAACCTGTTTAACTGTATTTTAACATTTGACCTGTGCAAAAACTTGACAGAAGGTTAAGACTCTTGAAAGACTTTAATGATTCAAGGACACAAGAAAAAGTAAAATAGCAACCTTTCTCCAAATAGGCCAGAGTAAAAGATGACAAACAAGGAAAATGAGAGGAGGGGCTTAGCAGAAATGGGGGCACACGTGTGGACTGCCGAGACCATGCGACATCCACTCGTGAAGGCAGGCCACCCCAGTGCCGGGCCTGGTGCAGCCGTGGGCCTCCCGACCGTGTCTCAGGACAAAACCAACCAGGTGGTGCAGACCCCCATCCCACCAGCCCGCCGTGACTACTATTTCCAGATACAGTGAGGACATGTATTTTCTATAAGTAGCTTTTGAACTCCTTGTATTCATGGAGCCCTTATTCTGGCACACCAAGACCAAAGGGCTATGACCCGCCATGAGGCCAGAGCGGGGTTTCAAGGTGCACTCTGAGAGCACAGCATCCAGAACTGCTGACAGCTCCACCACCAGAGGAAATGAATGGAACAGACACAGAATGAAAGAAAGAAAGAGAGAAACTAGACAATGAGAATACATCTCTGAAAGCACTGTCACTGAGAGAGCTCTTTTAAAACACTTCAAAAACCCACATAAAAATGTTAAATCGTTCTATATTACCTTTAATGCATACTCTCTGCCACTTTCCAGATCTTGAGCTTCATATACAAATGCAAATCCTCCTGAAAATTTAAGGAAAAACTCTTCAGTACGATGATTTTAGTTAACATATTAAACTTAAAAAAATGTCTTTACTAAGTGAAATATAAACTGGACTTGTAGTTGTGGCCAGAAGTTTGTTTTCACAAAAGCAATGGCCCAGTTTATGCACTGCTACCTTTTACATGGTCTGCCTCAAAGACAGGAGGAAATACACCTAAGAACAGGGACCAAGAAAAGGAAAAAACCAGAGAAAAATCAACGAAACAAAAAGCCAGTTCTCTGAAAACAAAGCTGATAAATTCTAGACAGATTGAGCCAAAAAAGAGGAAGGTTGACACAGAGAGAACAAATCACCAATATCTGGAACAAGAAAGGGGACATCACTGTCCTGACGCCCCCAAGAGGAAAAGACATTGAAAGCACAGACTAACATCGCTCATGAATATGAACCAAAAATTCTTAATAAAATTAAAAAGTTAAAATTCTAATAAAATAAAATACTAGCAAACCAAACCCTTTTAATATAAAAGGATACTGCACCATGATCAAGTAGAATTGGTTTAACATTTGAAAGTTAACTTGATTCTACTGTTTTTAGGTTTAATTTGCTTACCTTTTTTTTAGCTTTCTATGTTGGAAAATTACATCGTGAAATTTAAAACTCTCAGAAAACTAGGAATAGAAAGAAACTTCTTTAGCCTGGTAAGGGGGATCTATGAAAGACCAACAGCAACATTATACTTTATGGTGAGAAACCAAATGCTTCCTTCTAAGATCAGAAGCAAGGCAAAGATGTCTGTTTTTATCACTGGTACTCAGTATTATACGGGAAGTTCTAGCCAGTGCAATTGGGCAAGAAAAAGAAATAAAAGGCATCCAGGGGCTGGCCAGTTGGCTCAGCTGGGTAGAGCATGGTGGTATAACACTAAGGTCAAGGGTTCAGATCCCTGTACCAGCAGGCCGCCCCCCAAAAAAAAAAAAAAAAAAAAAAATTTATTTTTTAAAAAAGGCATCCAAATTGAAAAGGAAGAAAAATACTTTTATTCGCAAATGACATGATCATCTATGTAGAAAAATCTGGTGAAATCTACAAAAAAAAAAGCTACTGTAACAAATGAGTTTAGGAAGGTTGTCAGATATAAAAGCAACATACAAACATACAAAAATCAACTATTTCTACATACCCCAGGTTAGGCGGAGATTTATTAAATACAAGCGTAAAAGCATGATCCATAACAGGAAAAAAACAGTAAGCGGACTTCCTCAAATAAATAATGTCTGCTTTTAAAACACATTCACCAGAGGATAAAAAGTTAAGCTAGGTTTTGAAAATCACATAGCTGATAAAGGACTTCTATCCAGAAGATATAATGAGAACACAAAATTCAATAATAACATTTTTCTTGGGCAAAAGATATGAATAGATACTGCCAAAGACATACCAGGGCCAGAAAGCACATGACACGACTTTCCATCACTACCTTAGGCAAATGCTAATTCAAACCACGAGAACACCACTAAGCACCTATTAGAATATCTAAGACTTAAAAAAAAATTGACCAGACCAAGTGTTATTAGGATGTGGAGCAACTGGAATGCTTATACATTGCTTGTGGAAATGTGAAATGATACAACCACTTTGGAAGACATTTTGGTAATTTCTTAAAAATTTAAAGATACACTAACTCTTGGGCCCTAACACCACAACACTGAGAGTGCACCCAGGAAAAGGGAAGGTGCGCATCTACCACAGGCTCATACAGATGGTCACTGCAGCATCATCTCCAGCAGCCCCAAACTGGAAACAACCCAGATGTCCATTGACAGGTGAATGGAAAAACAAAGTATCAGGCCGGCCTGTGGCTCACTCGGGAGAGTGCGGTGCTGATAACACCAAGGCCACGGGTTCGGATCCTATATAGGGATGGCCAGTTTGCTCACTGGGTGAGCATGGTGCTGACAACACCAAGCCACGGGTTGAGATCCCCTTACCGGTCATCTTTAAAAAACAAAAAACAAAAAACAAAAAAACAAAGTATCCACGCGTGGAACACTACTTAGCAATACAAAGGATGAAGCTACATTACATGCAACATGCAACAACACGGGTAACTCTCAAATAATCATGCTGAGTAAAGAAAGCGCAGGCAAGAAAAGAGCCCACATGCATGATCTCATTTACAGGAAGCTTCAGAAAGTGCAGACTGACCTACAGGAATGGAGAAGCAGAAGGAAAGGGCGATACAAGGGAAGGAGGTGATGCACGTGTTCACTGCCTTGTACGTACGAGTTAGAACACTTCAAATATGTGCAATTTGTATATCCCATTTCTATCTCAACACAGCTGTTAAAAATTAAAATAGATGGAAAGAAGTAAATGAAGACCCATGAAACAAAACAGATGGCTCTTCATCTGAATTCTATCAAACAATTATGGAAGAAAGCACAACAATTTTACTCAAAATCTTGCATAAGATGGAGGAGGAGCAGCATTCCCAGCCCATTCTGTGAGGCCAGCAGAACCACAGAAGGGTGCTGTGACACTAGAACACACAAACACAGGTTCATCCACAGTTCCTGAGTCGTGACTCCCACAGCCCTGGTCATGTCCTAAGTGGCTGCTCTCTGACCTTCTTCTGCCCTCGTTTCACCTGCTGCTTTTTCTACCTAAGGCGGCCACAGAAACTGCTCTAATCACCACCTGCCTCTCCCCTCCCCCGTCCCGTCTGTCTTGCAGCAGCCATGAAGAATTTCTCTGACCTACCTTGTCTGACTGTAGGTCACAGACCCCCATCCCAGAAGGGGTCCTGCCGCATGCGCAGTTGGAAGGAATGCTGCACACAGAGCCCGAGAAGAACCCGAGCAGACAGGCCTCGCTGGGCTTCCCCACCCAGGCTGCCAGGCTGTTAGGGTTAGGTCAGACTTTTTTTGTCCAATCACTTTTCTACATGGCTGTCCATGCTTCAACCATGCCTATGTCATGAAGCTTCCACTAAAACACAAGAGCAGAGGGGTTCAGGAGCTTCCAGATAGCCAAACATGTGAAGGTTCCTGGAGGGTGGTGCACCCGGGGAGGGCCTGGAAGCTCTGTGCCCCTTCCCGATACCTCACCCGTGCATCTCTTCACATGTATCCTTTGTAATATCCTTTATAATAAACTGGTAAAAGTAAGTAAGTTGATAGAGTTTGGATGTGTTGTCCTCCCAGAACTCATGTGGAAATCTGATCTCCAATGTGGCAGTGTTGGAAACTGACTGAGTCACGGGAATGGATCCCTCATGAATGGATTAATGCTCTCCCTGGGGAAGGAGGGGTAGTGAGTGAGATCTTGCTCTATTAGTTCCCGCCAGAGCTGATTGTTTAAAAAGACCCTGTCACTTCCCACTCTCTCTTTTGCTTCCTCTCGCCATGTGATCTGCTTGTACCTGCCAGCTGCCTGCCGCTTTCTACCGTGAGTAGAAGCAGCCTGAGGCCTGCACCAGATGCAGCTGTCCCAGAATCGTAAGCCAAATAAATCTCTTTTCTTTATAAATTACCCAGTCTCAGGTATTCTGTTATAGCAACACAAAACAGACTAATACATAAGTGTTTCCTTGAGTTCTGTGAGCCACTCAAACAAATTAATCAAATCCAAGGAGAGGGTTGTGGAAACCCTGATTTATAGCTGGTCAACAATCTGGGGTTTGCGACTGGCACTGAAAGTAGAGGGCAGTCTTGCGGGATTGAGCCCTGAACCTGTAGGATCTGACGTTATCTCCAGGTAGTTAGACACCAGACTGGTATCTGCTGCAGAACTGATGCTTGGTTGGTGCATGGGGAAAACCCTCCACACATTTGGTCACACGTCTTGTGTTGACTGTGGTGTGAGAGCAGAGGAAAAACAGATCACTTGTTGTAAATCAAGATCACTCATTAACACAAACACAAAAACCCTCAAGACAATACTAGCAAATCAGTTCTGTTAAAACATAGTGAGAATAGGGCCGGCCCGGTGGCGCACTGCTACAGTGCGCCGCTTGGGAACGCGGTGGCCCTCCCGCCGAGGTTTCGGATCCCACATACAGACCGGCCGCTCACTGGCTGAGCGAGGTGTGGGCGCGGCACCGAGGGTTGCGATCCCGTTGCCAGTCCCGGTCCGGTACGGGCGCGACACTGAGGGTTGCGATCCGTTGCCGGACACGAAAAAAGACAAAAAGGAAAAAAAAAAAAACATAGTGAGAATAACACCTCATGACCAAGTGGGATTTATCCCAGGAATGCAAGGTTGGTTGAACGTTGAAGAAATGAATCACTGCAGTGCCTGACATTAACAGAATAAGGAGCACCAGATCATCACCATGGATACAGAGGAAGCACACCTCAAAGTACAAAACCCACTAGTGCTTTGTCAAAATAATAAAATAACTCAGCAAACTGGGAATAGAAGTGAACTTCTTCAATCTGAGAAAAGGCAACCAACATACAAAAAACCCTACAGCTAACGTGAGACAAGAACGAGGCGAGATGTCTGCCCTCAGCACTGTTATACCACATTTCACTGGAGCTCCTAGTCAATGCAAAAAAGCTAGAAAAGGTGTAAAGATAAGAAAGGAAGTAACAAAGGACACATTTCAGTTACATAGGACAAATAAGTTCAAGACCTGTACTGTACAACACGGTGACTATAGCTAATGACATACTGTATTCTTGAAAAAGAGTCGATGTTGTGTTCTCACCATAAAAATAACTATGTGAGGTAATGCATCTGATAATTAGCTAGATTTAGTCGTTCCACAAAGTATATACCAACACTTCAAAATGTCATATTGCATATGATATATACATATAATTTCATCTGTCAATTTAAATAATAAAAAAATAATTAAACCGGGGGGGGGGGGAGGAAGAAAACTCTTCTTGTTTGCAGACAATATATATGATTGTAAAAGTAGACCACCTTAAGGACTTTACCTCAGCAAGGCTGCGAGACCCTCATCCTCAGTATTCAGGGGCTCTCCAGCCCCCACATAGCTCTCTCTTG